AATGGGTTTTATATGCAGTGCACAATCAAAACCATTCAATGTCATCCATAAATATTTGATGAATGATCCAACATAGCTATAAGAGTTGCTTATTTGGGATACAGCTAGGGTAAGCCTAACAGAGTTAATGAGATGTTGTACCATGGCATTAGGCAGTGGGTGTTTCCCTCCCCACTATTAGCTGTACATGCTCTTTTATCCAAGGACCTACTTATGTCATTACTATAATCTTCATCAACTTGTCAAGATAATGGAGGGTCCACTGAGTTCAGAGAAGGTCTCACATAGTTAATAAAAATTCAAAGGACGTAAATGTAGAAAGAGTTTGGGAACAACTAATAAATAAGATCTGCATAGAGAACCATAAAGAATGGGCTTTATAAGAAATTCTGCCTTGGAAAGGGTAGAACTTGAACTCAGTTTTGAGGGAAAGGAAAGAGACATACTCTGAAATGGAGATGATAAATTAGTAAAAAAATGTGTGAAGACAAATCCAAGAGAGAGAGCCAGAGGAAGAGCAGGTGGATAAACTCGGGGACAATGATCAAGGTTGTAACAGAAGGAAGAGTAGCTCTAGAGCCTGCTTTCAGCAGATCCCACATCTGTATTTGTTAGACACACACAAATGTAGGTTTTGGGGGAGACAAGTTACTTATCATATTTGACAAGTGCCTACCAGACTTGCTTAGCAATCAGACAAGGTTTGTAATTACTTCACCAAGCCTTTCTGATGAGCCACAATTTGCAGCTGTCTGCACACTGATTTCTGACAAACTGATTTTGTTCTACCAATGCTTCATTAATTTAACCTCAGAGGGCTGATATGACTATGTCAGAATCTCACCCAAAATAGCTATGAGTTAATAAATTGCCCTTCTGAAAAGCAAGATGTTCTCTCTATTTAAATTATGTTAGGACCAGTAGGGTACTTCAAGTTCTTGTTCAACACTTTATTTTTTCATGTACTCATTCATTTAACAAGTATTTATTGAAGACCCATTTTATGACAGATTAGGTCCCTGTTCTCAAGGCTTTACAATGTAGTTAGGGATGCAGACATTGAATAATAAACTAATAAATTATTTCAAGTGTCGGAAATAAACATGGTATTATGATAGTTGCCCCAGAGGAGATAAGGGATTAGCTATCTTAGATGGAGTGAGATGATCAATGAAAAGGATCCTTTGAGGAGGTGACACTTGAGCTGAAATTTGGATGAAGATGTGAAGCCACATGACAGGAAAGAGAAGATGAAAGAAGCCACAGGAAGTCCCTGAGGTAGGAACGGGAATAATATATTGGACAAAAGCAAGTAATGAGAAAGAATGAGAGTAACAGGAGCAAGGAAGGTAGGTAGGATGCACTATTCAAGTTAAAGAACTCACACCAGGCCATAGAATTGTAAATGAGTAAGCAAGGAAATATAATGAATGTTACAGATACACAGTGTGCACAATGGACTATACAGAGGATCCTGAGAGTAGTCATTTTTGAGTGGTAGAGAAAAGAGGAGTAACCCATGAAACAGGCAGGGATCTCAAACTCTAATATGTGATGCAAGCCTCTGTACGAGACAGAGTGGTGAGAACTGCAGTGACCTAGAGAATGAATGGCATGCCTAATAGCATTCAGACTCATTAAAAATACTTTGTGAGCAAAATAAAGAACATCATTAACAAATATGTTTCAAGCAAAATAAAAAATATAAGGAAGCAAGCAAATCCCATGGACCATCAATATGCAACAATGAGCTGGAGAAAAAGTGGGAAGTAGGCTTAGAATGAGAAAAAAATCAATACAGTATGGTCTCATATAAGTCAAAGAAGCGTTATAGCTTATATTTCTATGTACTAAACAAAAAAGAATGTTTTATTAGATAGTAACCCAAATTCAGTAATACTGATAACAACAAAAAAAGACCCACAGTATTTATTACAGAACTTGCATAACTTAAAATCAGAGGTAATGATCAAATGGGCCAGATTTGTAAAGGTATGGAACCATGAGGTCCATCCAAGGAAGAATCATGGTCACCCACTCTGTGCTTGCACAGATCCAGGGATGGAAAGCGCCCATGCCTCCTCGCTAGGCACTAAAAGTGTTCAGAAATTTCTATTCATTCAACCTGTTCTTACATAGCTGGAATCTGCCTCCTTGTCATCTAAAAGTCCCAGATCTTCCCCATGGGGCCACCTGACAGCCCTTTAGATATTTAGAAACAGTGACTCTGTCACTATCTTCCCTCCACAAGTCTTCCCTTCTCCCAACAAAACATCTCTACCATCAACTACTCCCCAAATCACTATTTCTAGACTCTACCACCCTAATCACTTTCTGTGAACCATCTCTAGTTTGTCATTGTCCCTTATAAACAGTTCCCAGGGAGAACACAACACTCCCAGCTAATTTATAGTGTAGGGCTTCTTTAGGCATCATTTTCTATTTCTGCAGCAGTAGGATTACAATTGCATTTTATTAAGCTCAGTCTCCTGTTTTCCCAATACACCCCTCATCCAAGCCAACCTGCCTGTTGTATTGCATGGACAGATGCATAATTTTGAGTGAGAGCTCCTTTCAGTATAAAGAATGCTGTCCCTCATCACTCCATCATTCCTGATTAAAATCACTCAGTCTAATGTACATCACATCCCGTACCAACAATGCAATGCTTCATGTTTCTCATGCCACTTTCTAGGCATTATCTTATTATGTACCCAAACTTTATACATAGAGGAAGATGAATCTGAGAATCAGTGGTTAAAGGCAGAGGGAAAATTGGAAATCTGACCCTTGGAAAGAGTATTGAGTGGGAGCATCCAATAACCTGCCTTTGAATCCAGGTCACATCATTTATCCACCAATGCTAGTTTTTTAAAAACAAAATTAATGAGAACAGAAAGCAGCTACCTATTAAAAAAAGGTATAACACATACCAAGTCCTATAATAAGCTTGTAATGCACAGTCTGCCATATATTACAGATAACAATCTTTGAAGTGTATTTATATTCATTTCAGAGAGGAGGGAATTAAAACACAGAGGTTAAGTGACTTGCCCAATGTCACACAATCAGTAGGTGGCACTGGGATTTGAAACTAATTCTGCTTGTCTTCAGAAAGTATCTCTTCATAGTCTCATACCAAAATCTCCTGATGCATAGCTAGTTACTATCTATTACTATCTATTCTACATATTGCTTACGAGTTGATTTAAGAAAAGCCCTAAAACTCTTGGGATAATTACTTCTGCGATGCTTCTCCAAAACAGTAGGGGGTAGAGAGATGTGTTGCTTCATCCGTGGGGATAGAGACCCTATGCAATCATGCACACAAGGGCAAAGAGTAAGGGAGGGGAGAAAGGTCACATACCAACCTCAGTGCTGGGCATTGCGTTTCTAGCTAGCCTGAAATGTAGCATTGCAGGTCCTATCACAAGCACATTTGGATATAAACAAGACTTCAAGGTAACAGTTCAACCAAAAAACAAAACAAAACAAAACAAAAAACAGTGTTTTCAAGCATTTTTCATACCAATTTAGCAGTATTCACTTGTATATAAATCATGTGCTAATTTATTCATTAAAAGAGCCTGTACTTGGCAACATTTTATTGACCTTAGTTTACTCTAATAAAATCAGTAACTATATATTTTTTAAAATCTCTTTATAATTACTCCATAATTCTGATCTTTCTCCCAATTTGACTTAAGCTCTGACCACCTCAAACCACACTCCACATCCAATGACAATGAGGTCAGATTATCATATAAGATATAATTTTGGGAAAATCCAAATTTGGAGAGACCTAGTTATGCCTCAGGATCTCCTGGGGACTTTCTTAGGCCCACCTACTGATAGATTCCCCAGTGCCTTGGTAATCTATTGGACCACAGATGGGACCTCTTGGAAAAGGAGATTTGCAGCAATCAGCACACTGACCAGCACTGGGGACCAATGACTGGAGCATTTTCACCCTTCACAGGTCCATTTCAGCCTTTGGAAAACAGGAAGCACACATAGTGGAGGAGGATATCTCAAAAGCGTAAAACCAATTGCCTCAAAGAATCCAGTGAATCCCAGAAAAATTAATTATAAGTCTCAGTACTAACTGTTGACCTATGGTTCTCTATTTTCAGGGTCTAAGTAGTCATTTAATTCCCAAATATTGCAAAGAAACCTTAAAAAAAAGATGCACAGGTTTTATCTAACCCATAGAAATAGGGAGGACATAATCATAGGGATTAACCTGGTAGGGCCACATGATAAATGACTAAAATAAAACACCTAAAATAAAAATTATCCTCAAATGGTTAGATCAGGTGGGTCAAATGGATGGCTAAAGTAGTACCTCTCTCCTATGCGATACCAGAGCAGACATCGCTAACCAATCACAGCATATTTCCTTGTTGCATCCAGAAATAGCCCCAAAGCTTTTTCACCTGAGCACTCCAGGGCACCACTGCCATCTGACCTGCTCTTACATGTGGGCAACATATTTACCCTTCACTGGCTACAATAAGTAATTGTATCATTCAGACCAACCTAGTTTTTGCTAATGATAATTCAAAATTTGACTTCGAATAAATGCTATTTAGCAAGAAAAGCTGAGTTCCAACATATTTTAAAAATTAAATGTAAAATTTGCCTAAAATAACCATTTATCAATATGCTTAATTTCCATTGGTTGTATAGATTTTCTCCTATGAAGACATTAGGTCATGGCTCCACGCAAACATTTACTGTTCTGGTAAATGACAGGCAGAAATCACAAGGACATTTAGATTTTGTCCAGTTTCATTTGAAAAAGAAATCATTATAAATTCATTTGTCTTCAGTTCCTGTAAATGGTCATTCTGGGCTACTTCACCTCTGTTACTGCTTCCCAAGTCATATTGGGTGGAATCCCATTTAAGACCTTATATATGGTAATGTCTACTTAGGCTGATTTCATCACATGGACAGCTCCTGCGATCAAACAATAAGATCAGAGAAAGCAGACCCACCTCATCATAGATGCTGTCATTCTTGTGAAAGTCTCCAGCCTTCCTGGGAAGAACGTGGATATGAACATGCTGAAAATATACAAAAAAGAAAAAATAAAATGTGATTATCTCCCCATATATTTTCACACTTGACAGTGATGCTCTCATGAAGCTCAATTACTCCACATTGTTTCCTGCTGGATTATTTTTCATAGGAAGATGACGTCCACCTTCAGTAACTAGATCTGAAATCTGCAGAGAATAGAGGTACAGAAGAAGAGAGAACAACTTGGTGGCACATATGAGACTTTGAGTGAAATGTCAGAGTGTTTTAGGGGCCCTGTGGAATTATTCATAGTTGTCAGTCTTGGATGTATTTAGCCAGTGCTTTGAAATGACAGTATTTCTTAAAAGGTGACCACAGTGCCTCTGAAACTGACAAGAAATAAGAATTGGCTAAAACAGAGAACTGCATAAGTAAAGAGCAAATGAGGGAGAGTATGATGGAGCATGGCCCAAATTACAGAATCCAGGCTTCAAATAATAATCATATAATAATGATATAAATAATTCTCATTTATTAAAGCTTTAATTATTATGATAAGGAAGCTCTGTGCTTGGCATTTATCACATTTAATGCCCTGAATAAATCTGTGAGGCAGTTCTACCATAATCTCCATGTTACTGAAGAGGAAGTCTGCCCAGAGGTCCCGGCCCGGCAGGAAGTGGTAGAGTCAGCACAGAAAGCCAGGTGGTCTGGTTCTTGCACCCACCTTTTTCATCAACACATACCCTGCTTGTGTGACGTTCATCTTTTGAACAGCTCATTTCTTTAGTCTACAAAAGTACCCAGGTAATATACATAGCAATGCTATTATGCAGAGGCTGTGACTCAAGGCACACAGCATCTGACTCAATATATTCTTCAAGGCTAAACTGCCATTTGAAAGTTTTACTTTCCAAATAGCCTCTATTGTGCCTTAGCTGAAGTTAAACTCCATTCCTGCCCTTGAGCTATGTTCATGCATTTGTTTGAAACCATGGGGAGGAATGTGAAAATGAAAAGTCTAAACGTGAAAAGGCAGACAAAGAATCAAACATCATCGCTGATCATGCCCACCCTCCTTGATTATTTTGATCAGGCCAGAGTCTCCAAAGGGTCTCTGGAGAAGGTGAGATTAATGGTCCCTGTGGCTTTGCTGTACAAGGAGGAGAAATGATATGCTATTAAAGCCCAGGCAGGGAACAAGGTGGTCTGAAGCAAACAAAGCAGAGAGAAGTTTCACATCATCCCTTCAACACATAGTCCCCAAAGAGTGACACGTTTTTGCCAGAATATTCTCCAATGACAAAGCCAATCACAGATTCCTCAGCAACTGGGACAAGTGTATACACAAAGATTATGTGAGCCTAAGGAGATGGGGAAAAAAAGCAAACAGGAAAAAGTAAATCATAAACTTCCCATGGAACCAATTTCCTAGAAGAAAGCAGGGCAGGACAGGTCCAAAGTGAAATTTATTGAAGTCTGTGGGCCGAATGACTTAAAAGCAAGTCCAGAAAAAATAAAATGCCACAGTACAAGGAAATAGCCAACCCTTAGAAGGGGCCTTCACTCATTCTTTGCTTCCCCAAACTGCTGCTATCCGTTCTTCCTTTACTCTTTCCTTTCTTTTCCCCTCACTCTCATCTTCCTTCCTCATTCCCTCCCTTCCTTCCTTCTGTCATCACCTTGTACTTTCTAATACACGGGCATTCCTGATCAGGGTTCTGTAGTCAAAAATAAACTTAACTAGCTGTGTGGCCTTCCCTCATAAGGCTTATACTTTAGTATCCTCATCTAGGATGAGGATTATAACAGTTTCTATCTCACAGAGTTGTTAAAAGAATCCGATCTACTAAGCATGTCCTTATTATGCTGTTTAGTATGTAGCCATTACTCAACACATAGCTGCAGTAGTATCACTTTCAGGGGATGGTTCCCACATAAGAGGGAAAGATATTTAAGAAGCTCCTTGACTGGGGCATGGTTAAAGTTTCTCTGTTGCTCTAGCTTATTTCTGTTGCTTTGACGAGTGGTTCTCAGACTTGAACATGCACCTGGGCCTTGATAAAACAAAGACCACTAGGCCCCCAAACTTGCATTTCTAATCCTCTCCCAAGTGATGCCAATATTGCTGGTCTAGGATCATACTCAGAATCACTGGTTCCTGAACCCTTCTCCTGCCAAATGTGGTCACGCAGGTGCCAAGGTCACTCACTGTTTTGCTTGGCTTATTGTGTTATTGGAAAGGTATTGCTGCATGTTTCTCTGGCTTCCTACCCTCTGGCCACGTTCCGTGCCTTGTCCTTAGGGATATGCCTCTTGTTGCCCTCTAATAATGTATAGCTGGCTGTAAACTTATATTAGGGGAAACTCCTGGGACCAGGCCTTCTTTTCTTTACCTCCCTGAGGTTTAGTGTTCAAGGCTATTTCTCTAGGCCCAATTACCATGCAGTCCTGGAAATGCCATTGATAATCATTGATAACCACTTGAAATTCACCGTGTTTCATTGTTACACTGATGACAGGAAATAATTTACTATATAGATGATTTTCCCCTAGAACATAGGTCTCAACCCAGCCTGATATCTCGACATAAGTTCTTAAGTAACAGACTGATCACAAGATCCTGACAACGCACTCGAGTTCTCAGAAAAGAGAAATCATGATAAAGCCAGGTAAAAAATCTCACTGTTGTGAAGGAATACCACTGTCACAACCTTCCAATAGAATGTCATTTTGGTAAAAACCCTATGAAGAGAACAGATGGGGAAATTTGACATAACCTGTTCTTAGTGAATTCATATTGAGCCTTGGTGATCTCAACTTACTTTTCTAAGTGCTAATAAAACCTCCAATTAATAAAGCACCACAAAATTTTGCTAGGCTTTACTTTTCACTACGGTTTAAATTTGCTAGGATTTCAAACAGTTTAGTTACTTGAGTTGAAAGAATATTTCAAAAAATCCATGATACTTTCCATACAAAAAAAAAGTTTTCATAGTCAAATAAATTACACAATATTCATTAGCATATTAAAGTATCTGAAAGGGCCAGATGAGAGAAACTTGGTTTAGTTTGTTCAATTAGCAATCTAGAAAATTACAGAGCCCTGTATTCTTTATTCACATAATATCCAATCACTTTTTTCTAATACATACATTTATTTATACAGAAATACTTATTACCAGTTGCTAGCCTAGGAACCAGAGAAACAGTGATGAAAAAGACAAAGCCCCTCTCCCCATAAAGCTGCAATCCAATGGGAAATGAAGAAAATAAACTAGTAAATAAATAAATATGTGATTTATTTTCATGTGAATATAAGTGTCATAAAGAAAAACACAGCAGTCAGAGCTAAAAATTCAGAATTGAGACACTTCACCATTTGTAGTTTGGGAAGAGAAGTAGGATTCAGGTTAAGGATCTAGTGGGGAAGGAGGGAAATAAGGAGAGGGTAAATTCAAAGGTGAGGAAATGAAAAAAATTCAAGAAGGGTATAATCAACAGTGTCAATATCGCTGAAAGCTAGAGTTCGTTTCAGTGAAATTCGGGGGAATAAAAAGTTAACTGAAAAGCACATGAAAGATGCTCAACATCATTAATCATTAATGAAACAAAAATCAAAACCACATTGAGATACCACCTTACACTCACTAGGATGACTATTAAAAAAACAAACAAGAAAACCCCACAAGACAATAAGTGTTGGCGAGGATGTGGAGAATTAGAACCATCACACATGGTCGGGGAGATGTAAAATGGTGCAGCTGCTTTGGAAAATTGTTTGGCAGTTCATCAAAAAGTTAAACATACAGTTACTATATGACCCAGAATTCTATCCTACATACGTACCCAAGATATATGAAAATATATGTCCACACAAAAACTTGTACATGGATATTTATAGCACATTATTCACAAGAGCCAAACAAGGGAACAATCCAAGCATCCATCAATAATGCATGAGAAAAGAAAATGTGGTATAACCAGTCAATATGATTTGGCCATACAAAGGAATAAAGTACTGCTAAGTAAAAGAATTATGCTATGTGAATTATGCTAAGTGAAAGAAGCCAGACACAAATGACCAGATACTGCATGATTCCATTTATGGAATGGCCAGAACAGGCAAATTCATAGCGACAAAACGTAAATTATTGGTTGCTGGGATGGGGGAGGATAGGGAGTGACTGCCAATGGGCACAAGGTTTCTTTTGAAAATGATGAATACATTCTAGAATTAGATAGTGGTGATGGTTGCACAATTTTGTACATATATAAAAAACTATGGAATTATATATTTACAAAGAGTAAATTTATGTTATGTGAATTATATCTCAGTAATGCAATTATTTTTTTAAAAACCTGATGTAGGTTTAAGGGAGTGGAAGGTGAAGAAAGGGAGATAAATAAGCAAAACTTTTCCAAGGAGTTTTACAAAGAAATCAATAAGAGTAGCTCCAGAGGATGGAGAAAAATCACTCTTTGGGAAACACTGGTTTAAGGTTACTGGGACCTACTAGTTTCTACAATTATTATTATCATTAGTAGTGGTAATTGCTGTTGTTAACATTTATTAAAAGCTCACTACACATTAGTCCCTGGGTCAATTTACATCCCTATGTCAATTAATCCTACAATATTCCCAAGAGATATTTAATAAGTACATCAAACATTTACTGGTGACAGATTAGACCCTAGAGGTTAAGTGACTTGTCCAAGCTCCTGCAGGGAGTGAGTGACCAAGAGCTGACACCTGAACCTGGGTCCATCATCAGACACTGTGGTGTTTGCTCTTCATCAAATGACACCTTCTCTCAGGAGGCAACCTGCTTCTCCCCATTCCAAAATTAAGGACACCTCCTCCCTGTGGTCTCTTGATGCCTCTCCCAAGGTCTGCAATTTCTCAATAATGTCTTTGATCATATCCATTAAGTTCTTTCAGGATCATGGGATGAGGTTTGCCTTTGTCTAGAGACTTAAATTAACTTAGAGCAAGGGTATTATCATCCAATTTCCATTTCCACCTTACTTCTTCCTAGTTGAA